AAAGAATAATTCTTCCGACCCCATACTCCAGTCCTGCTCTGGACAAAGCCTTAGTCACATATACTTGGAAGCTGGGAGGGGGAGAAGGATGAGTGTGAAGGAGTAATTAGAGTTATAGTTCTAATATCCTATAGTGTAGGTGTTCTCTTATCTCGTCTCTTACCCTTGACTTATCACCAAAAGTCTCTGATTTCTCTCTTGGGACAGTGCAGGTCTACAAGTATTGCTGGGTTCTAAGCAGAAATCCTAGGTGATCAAATAAGTGAAAGGCACCCATTAAGCACCAAGCTTTTACTACCATGGCAGGGTGAGAAAGACCCTTTCCCTCTTAACTTCCTATACCTACAATCCCAGTAGTAGGCCTCAAATTCCACAGGTTGTCACCTCACCCCCTACAAGGAGGTTGGGCCCAGGACTGATTTGCTCAGTCCCAAAGATGCCTAAAAATCCCATCCTTACACTTTTTCCGCCCCCCCAAGACAAGGTCTCCCTCTGTTGCAGAGGCTGGAGTGCAGTGGCTCTACCATAGTTCACAGCAGCCTCAAACACCTGAGCTCAAGCGATCCTCTGCCTCAGCCTCCTAAGTACATGCACACACCACCATGCCTGGCTAATTTTTTTTTAATTTTTTTGATAGAGACAGGGTCTCACTATGTTGCCCAGGCTGGTCTCGAACTCCTGGCCTCAAGCAATGCTCTGCCTCTACCTTCCAAAGTGCTGGGATTATAGGCATCATCCTGACACTTTAATGTTATGCAGCAATGAAGATTTCTAATTCCAAAGGAGATAACACTCCCAGGAATTAGAATTGAATATTTTATAATAATAAATTTTAGCTCTGTGAAATGACTCTCCATACAAACACCCAAATACCTCCTACGCCTATGACAAGTGGAATTTTTATTTTCAATCAGATTTTGGGAGACATGTTATTATAGATGAAATTAGGGGAGTTCCTGTACTGTAATTATTAACTTATATTTCTAGTTCACCTTCTGAATTATCAGTTTCCTAAAGGTAGGGTCGTTATCATTTTGTATTCCAAATTCATAGTAGTTGTTAACTACACTTGTTGAGAAAAAGGTAAGACAAGATTAGGGGGAAAGACTGGGAACAAGATACAAAGAAATATGTGAGCATCCTTATATGCTTAACTTTAGATCCCATACTAGTGGATATTCTTAAGTGGTATTTGCTCTTTTAAAAAAATCCTGTCTTCCAGCCAGGTGTGGTGGCTCACACCTATAATCCCAACACTTTGGAAGGCTGAGGCAGGAGGATTGCTTGAGCTCAGAAGTTCCAGACCAGCCTGGCAATACAGCAAAATTTCATCTCTACTAAAAAATAAAAATAAAAAATAAATCCTATCTTCCCTGAAAAAATCCACAAAAATGAAGAACAAGTATCAGTTGAGAAATTTTGCTACTTTTACAATAAAATGAACTGTGTCTGTCAGGTTCACCAAGGTATTAGGAGAAAGATGGTTATTTTTCAATCTTGGCAAATAACTTGAAGATGACAAGAGTAAAAAAGCTACATGCATTTATAAAATCTCCAAGAAATAATAAGGCTAGAAGATTAGGTACAATAGAAACTCTTTTTTAAATTTTTTTCTTTTTTTTTTTTTTGAGACAGAGTTTTGCTCTGTTGCCCAGGCTAGAGTGCAGTGGCACAATCTCGGCTCAGTGCAACCTCTGCCTCCCAGGTTCAAGCAATTCGCCCGCCTCAGACCCCTGAGTAGCTGGGATTACAGGCATGAGCCAGCATACCTGGCTTTTTTTTTTTTTTAAGTAGAGACAGGGTTTCACCATGTTGGTCAGGCTGGTCTCGAACTCCTGACCTCAAGTGATCTGCCTGCCTCAGCCTTCCAAAGTGCTGGGATTACAGGCATGAGTCACCCTACCTGGCCTCTTTTTTTTAAAAAATATCTTTTAAATTTCAATAGCTTTTGGAGTACAAGTGGTTTTGGGTTACATGGATAAAATGTATAGTGGTGAAGTCTGAGAGTTTACTACATCCATCACCAAAGTTGCATACATTGTACCCAATATATCTTTTTTTATCCCTCATCCTCTTCCTAACCTCTCCGCGTCTCAGTCTCCAAAGTCTATTTTACTATTCTGTATGCCTTTGCGTATTAGCTCCCACTTTTGAGAACATACAGTATTTGGTTTTGTATTCCTGAGTTACTTCACTTAGAATAATGGCCTACAGCTCCATCCAAATTGCTGCAAAAATGTTATTTCGTTCTTTTTTATGGCTGAGTGGTATTACATGGTGTATATATACCTGTATAGAATATAAACTCTTAAAACAATCCTCTAATAGCTTTTACAGATGAGCAAGTAGGGTCAGAATCATCAAATTCAGCATCTCAGTGACACAAGAAGTTTCTAGAAGTCTCTAGTCATACTGATTTTCCACTTAAATTGCTGAACCCAATTCAGTTCTAAACATTAGTTTAGGGAGAAGTCACAAGAATGCAGAGAAATCTAATAAGTAATCCTAAGAAAGATGCCAAATTAAGCCTACAAACATTAAATTGGTAAGGAAAATTTCAATTTGTGAGTAAAATATTACAAGAATTAAACATAAAGTATTAAATTATTGGACTACAATTTACATCCTAAGTATGAATGTCTAGAATACCAACTTTGGCACATAAACAGGAGATCATTTTTATCACCTAGTCACAAAACTACAATTTCTGGGAATAAAACTTGGCAATGTAAGTCCAAAAGCATTGTTTCCTAATTATATAAGTAACAAAAAAATTTATAATCTCATTTTTCAAGATCCAATAAAAATTAGTCCTGTGAAAGAGAACACAAAATGCTCCCCAAATGAAGGCAAGAGATAGAAAAGACACACAAAAAGAGAAACAGAGAGAGACACAGATTTCTGAAAACCCAAAGATAAGGTACAAACATGGAAAACCTAAATGCACAAAGATATTACAGCAATACGTACAATGAACTATCAGTATGACCAACCTAACAGTACCTCGACTCAACGAGAAATGGGAAACATTTACACTGTTAACTGAAAAAAGGCACAAATTTGAAAAGAAATTATTATTACAACTTTGTAAAAAAAAAAATTCTGTATGAAAAAGGACTAAAAGGCACATATACCAACATGGTAACCACAGTTATGTTAAGATCATGGGACTGCGTGTAATTCTTTTACATTCAATAATAATAAATAAAAGTTATAAATAAGTTGTCTAAATTATCTATAATGTGATATTTTCAATGTAAAGCTTTCTAAAGAAAATAAAATTATATCTTACATTTAATTTATAACAATCTGTCTCTTTCTACTTCAATTTCTACTAAGCTATTTGAGCACTAAATTCATTATATGAACTAAGTTTTTTACCATATCACAAAAAAGTAAGAATTAACATTACCTTATTCTCTGCTCATAAAAATAATTAGTGGGAAATCTACTAATTAAGACATTCAATGTAAATGAGTCATCAAATTAATTGGTTCCATAAATCCAAAGTATCGGCACAGGGTTTTAATAACCATCCTCAGCATCATCAGTATACTTATCAGAAGTGCAATTAGTAAAACCTGACATGACCCTACACTCAAAAAGGCTATAAAAATAAAGTATATTTTTTTACAGTATAAGAGTACAAAAATAAACCTTTGGCCCTCAACATAGAAAACAAAGGTTACTGTTGCCCTCAATCTATACTTAAAAACAGAATAGTAAATAGCCTGAGTCTATGCTATCACTAGATGATTGTCCCTCCTGTTGAAATTTGATCTCAATGTTGAAGGTGGGACCTAATGGGAGTTGTTGTTGGGGTGGGGGGAGGGGTCAGAACCCTCATGAATAAATTAATGCTCTTCCTCAGGCATGCTTGAGGTCTCACTCTATTTGTTCCCCCAAAAGCTGGTTGTTTAAAAGAGTCAGGGTCCCTCCTCCCACCCTTTTCTCCTTTCTCATTAGGTGCACAAGCTGGCTCCTCTTTGCCTTCTGCTATCAGCGAAAGTAGCCTAAGGCGCCCACTAGAAGCAGATCCCGGTGCCATACTTCTTGTACAGCCTGCAGAACTGTGTGGTAAATCAAACTCTTTATAAATTACCAGCCTCAGGTATTCCTATATAGCAACATAAAACAAGGCAGTCAACTCATCAATAATAATAATCAGTCCTATGATCAACTTCCCTCTGGAGGAGTTTTTTAATCTTTCTTGCAAATTAGAATACATTATCCCCAAAATGTGCAGACCTGATGTCAGGAAGAAATAAAATTTTTAATGAACAATACTGCCAAATCAGATAAAGGATACTGTAATAAGTCTTTTGACTAATTACAAAAGCATCAAAAATTGTCAAAAAAATAACCTTAAGTATGGTTGTAAAAAGCTTTAAATTCATCACTCCCAACCTCACAACAAGAAAAAAAGCTGGGGGGGGGGAAAAACTGATAATCAACAACTCTTCTTAGAGCCATCAGAGAATTGAGGTCCAGAGGGCAAACTGCTGCTCTAAAACCTGGAGAGACAGGCAGGCAGATACAGAGAATCACAGTGTGCGGGAAGCAGAAGCCCAGGAATACAAGCTCTCAACTGAAGCCAGCATCAGTAGGAACACTTCAAACAGTAATTGTGGACTAGCTTGAGAGTTAAAAACTGCAAGCAGACCAGTCTTAGAGGGGTCCCCATACTTTCCTGAGTTTTACCTGCAGAAGCCCTACCAGGTTCTCATGGCAAAGATCTGAAAAAATCCCCTCCTGCCGGCAGCAGGGTAAGAAGAAAAACATTTTGAAATATGCCAGGGACTTTGTTTCTATCAAAAGGCATTCCAGTAAAGGAAACTATTTTACCAGAACCTAACCAACTGGGCTTTTAGATTGCCTAACCTACTAGGGTTTTACAGTGCCTAACCAACCTGAGGGAAGGGCAATACCCAACTCTAGCCCCATATATCCTTTGACAGGGAAAAAGAGAAAGATACCCAACTCAGGCTCACAGTTGGTAGAGGGCAGAGGTGAGGGAGAAAGTTCTACAGTCCTGAGATCTAATTACAGGCCTGCAGAACTTTCCCCCTTATACCTCTACCCTTACCACTACATCAATACAGTTCTTGTACAACACAGGATTACAACTTAAAAACCTGCAAGCCTCAGACCCCTTTTAAGGATTATTGACAAAAACCCAAAGACTACAGGGCAGATAAAAGCAACGACACTAGAAGAAATTTTAGCCTCTGATAGTGACGGCAGTGGCTTTCTGGTACAGGGAAGGCACAGGGAGAGGCGGACAGACCCCCTCTCTCAACAGCCCGCCGCCCTCAGTGCAGCACAGTCAAGCAGACAGGGGCCCAATGCAGAGCTGAATCTGAGCCTCAGGGGCCTGAGGCGGGAAGCAGGAGTGGTGCCCACTTCAGGGACCGGCCAGTGACACAGCCACTGCACCCACCCGCTGAGGGTGCCAGGTTCCTGGGCCTCAGGAGGAGGCTCTGTGCAGGGCTGCCTGGGGCCACATCCCTAGGGTCCACCCCATGTCAGGCAACTGCTGAGCCTGCCACTCCCAACAACCAGGCCGGACAGTGATCTGCTCTGCCTGGGCCACTCGAGTGCCAAGGCAACTGGGGTAGCTCCTGGTGATGTCACCCCTGCCCCAGATCCCAGCCCAGGCCCAGCAAGGATCTGGAGCCCCTGCCCCAGGATGAAAGGGGGTGGAGCCAGGGCTGCATGCTCCACAGTGCCAGTGGGAGCCAGGAGCAGGCAGCAGCCCAAGCCACCCAAGCCTGGGTGGTAGACCCAGGCCTCCATGTGCTCTTGGGGACTGGAAACAGGCAGGAGCCCTGTCTCCCAACCCCATACAGCTGCAGCTATCCAAGTCAGGGTTGTGGACCCAGGCCTCCTCGTGCTCTTGTGGGCTCGGGAAGGCCCCCCGCTTGCCTTCACAGGCTCGGAAATGCCTGTTCCCGCTGCCACTTCCCGTACCGGCTCCAATCTGGCAGGTTCTCAGAGCAGGGTTGGAGCCAAGCCTGGACACCATCACAGCCCAACAGGATATGCGCATGCTCAGACCCTGCCGCCTAGGCCCCCTGTGGGGAAGCTGAGGTGGAGAGCTGCTCCATGCTGGTGGGCAGGTGCCCCTTGGCACAAGCAGCCTGGGAACCATGGAAGGTGGCAGGAGGCAGACAGGCTCCTGGGTGGAAGGGGGCAGGTCCCCAGTAAGACCCCACCTTCAGGCCAGGGAGGGCCTGAAGGTTGGGGACCGGGCTGTCACACCCGCAGACTGCAGTGGGGGCTTGTGGTGCCTTTTCCAGCCCACCCATAGCCACCGATGTACCAACTGGCGCACACTTCCTCCCCACTGAGGTCCATAAAAGCCCCGGCATCAGCCAGGGCAGGGCAGAGGACCTCTCCTCTCTGCTGAGAGCTGGGAAGTCAATGGGGACCTGCTTGCAGAGAGGAGCCACTCACTCCAGGGCCTTCTCTCTGCTGACAGCTGAACACTGGATGAGAGGACCTGCCTACAGAGAGGGGCTGCCCTCTGCAGCTCTCATCTGAGCTGTTCTAACACTCAGTAAAGCTTCTCTTTGTCTTGCTCACCCTCCATTTGTCTGCATACCTCATTCTTCCTGGATACAGGACAAGAACTCAGGCAAAGGCGCCACCGGCCACAGAGGTTTCTAGCCAGAAAAGCAACACCTTAAAGATCCTGTAACATTTGCCTCTGATACCACAGCCAGAGCAAACACTAAACACAGCCTGACTTCTAAACAGACAAACATAAAACCTCACCCTAAAGGCCTATTTACCTCAGTTCCTTTTACCTGATACATTCTGTCTGGCTATGAAAAAAAATTATGAGGCACTGTAAAGGCAAAAAATACAATCTGAAGAAACAAAGCAAGCCTCGAAAACAGACTCGGATGTGGCAGGAATTTTTACCAGGAATTATCAAATTATCACCAGGAATTTTTTTTTTAATATGTTTTGAGACAGGGTCTCACTGTTACCCAGTCTGGAGTACAGTGGTGATCCACAGCTCCCTGTAGCCTTGAACTCCTAGGCACAAGCAATCTTCCTGCCACAGCTTCCCAAGTAGGTAGGACTACAGGTGCATGCCACCATGCCCAGCTAAGTTCTTTTTTCTGACCGGCCTGGGCAACACTGGAGACCCTGTCTCTATGATTTTTTTTTTTTTAATTGCCAGGCATGGTGGCACATACCTGTAGTCCTAGCTACTTGAGAAGCTGAGGAGGGAGAATCACTTGAGCCTAGGAGTTCAAGAATGCAGTGAGTTATGATGATGCCACTACTGCACTCCAGCCAGGGTGACAGAGTGAGATCCTGTGGAAAGAAAGGAAGAGGAAAGAGTAGGAAAAAACAGTGAAGGGGGGAGGTGAGGAAGGAGAGTGTACAAATCAATAACACTGTAACAGGAAAGAATGTCTTTAGTAAGAGACACCAAACCAGGAAGTTCAAAGAATACCAAGCAAGATAAATACCAAAATATTTCCACAGACAAATGATAGTGAAGCTGCAGAAAATCAGACAGAGGAAACTAAATCAAAAGCAAACTTTAATTTTTTACTTATTAACTTCAAGACCAATAAGGTATCTCGAAAAAAGCAAGAGGTAAAGGAAAAAAACAACACACACACAAAACATCTTATCCACAGAGAAATAAAGATAAGAATTAGATCAAACTTTCTCTTCAGAAGCCACGCAAGCAAAAAGAGTGAAGTGAAATATTTAGCGTTAAAAAAAAAAAAAAAAAATCCAACCTTTCGGCGGGAACCACCATTTTTCAGTAATTCGCCAAAACGACGAACACAAAGGGAAAGAGAAGAGACACCCAATATATGTTCTCTAGGCCTTTTACTAAACATGGAGTTGTTCCTTTGGCTACATGTATGCGAATCTGTAAGAAAGGTGATATTGTAGACATCAAGGGAATGGGTACTGTTCAAAAAGGAATGCTCCACAAGTGTTATCATGGCAAAACTGGAAGAGTCTGTAGTGCTGCTCAGCATGTTGTTGGCATTGTAAACAAGTTGTAAACAAACACGTTACCCAGCATGCTGTTGGTATTATAAAAAACTTGCAAACAAACAAGGGCAAGATTCTTGCCAAGAGAATTAATGTGCATATTGAGCACATTAAGCACTCTAAGAGCCAAGACAGCTTCCTGAAACGCATAAAGGAAAATGACTGGAAAAACAAAGAAGCCAAAGAGAAAGGTACCTGGGTTCAACTGAAGCACCAGCCTGCTCCATCCAGAGAAGCACACTTTGTGAGAACCAATGGGAAGGAGCCTAAGCTGCTGGAACCTATTCCCTATGAATTCACAGCATAATAGGTGTAAAAAAAAAAAAATAAAAGACCTCTGGACTGGCTGGGCATAGTGGCTCACACCTGTAATCCCAGCACTTTGGGAAGCCGAGGTGGGCGAACATGAGGTCAGGAGTTCGAGACCAGCCTGGCCAACATAGTCAAACCCCATCTCTACTAAAAATACAAAAAATTAGCCAAGCATGGTGGTGGGCGCCTATAATTCCAGCTACTCAAGAGGCTGAGGCAGGAGAATCGCTTCAACCCAGGAGGCGGAGGTTGCAATCAGCCAAGATCACACCACTGCACTCCAGACCGGGCAACAGTGCAAGACTCTGTCTCAAAAAAAAAGAAATACAAAAAATTAGCCAGGCATAGTGGCGCACACCAGTAGTCCCAGCTACTTAGGAGGCTGAGGCAGGACAATCACTTGAAACCGGGAATCGGTGGTTGCAGTGAGCCAAGACAGTATCACAGCACTCCAGCCTGGGTGACAGAGTGAGACTCCGTCTCAAAAAAATAAAATGAAATAATAAAATAAAATAAGAATAAACCTCTGGACTGTTTTTAAAAACACCAAACTAGAATTCCCGTAGAATCCCAGCAAAATTATCCTTCGAAAGTGACAAAGAAATAAAGACTTTCTCAAATAAAAACTGGGAGAAATGAAATCCAATAAACATGACTTGCAAAAAATGTTAACAGAAGTTATTCACAAAGAAGGAAAATTATATAGATCAGAAATATGGATTACAAAAAGAAAGGAAGAGTGTAGAGAAAAAAATAAAGGTAAAATTAAATCTTTTGTTTTTCTGATCCTTAATTCATCTAACAGATAACAACTTGTTCAAAATAATCATAGCAACAATATATTTTGTGACCATAAATTATAGAAAAGCGAAACAAATAAAAGTAACATTATAAGGAATGGGAAAAAGGAACTGACACTGTTACAAGGTATTTGCACTACCTATGAAGTGGTATAGTGTTATTTCAAAAGTGAACTTGGATTAGTTTAACTGTGCAATTATTGCAAACTCTGGGGCAACCACTCAAATAACTTCATTTTATTCTTTTTTTTTTTTTTGAGACAGATTTGGGTGCAGTAGTGTGATCTTGGCTCATTGCAACCTCCACCTCCTGGGTTCAAGCAATTCTCCTGCCTCAGCCTCCTGAGTAGCTGGGATTACAGGCGCCTGCCACCACACCTGGCTAATTTTTTTATTTTTAGTAGAGACAGGGTTTCACCATGTTGGCCAGGCTAGTCTCAAACTCCTGACCTCAGTGATCCACCCACCTTGGCCTCCCCAAAGTGCTGGGATTACAGGCATGAACCACCATGCCCAGCCTAAAAAATAATTTTAAATAAGTATAATATATATTTTAAAACAGGAGACAAAATGGAATTATATAAAATGGTCAATTACAATGAAGAAGGCAGAGACAAAGTGAAAGACAAAAAGAGAACAAGGACAATGAGTAGAAAACAGTTATAAATACAGTAGATATTAATCCAACTATATGAATAATTACTTTAAACATCTGTGTTCTAAATACACCAGTTAAGAGACACGTGCTGTCAAGAGTAAATCAAATGACAAGACCCTACTATATGATGTCTACAAAAATCCCACTCTAAATACAAAGATGAAAACAGATTAAAAGTAAAGGGATGCAGAAAGATAGGCTACACTAAACCTAATCAAAAGAAACCTGGAATGGCTATATAAATTTCAGAAAGAGCAAGCTTCAGGCCAAGAAAAATTATCA